GGGAGCCCCGCACTGGACACAGGATTCCAGTTGTGGCCTCCCCAGTGCAGAGGAGAGGGGGAGAATGACCACCCTTGATCCGCTGGCCACACTTCTCCTTATGCAGCCCAGGATTCCATTGGCCTCTTGGCCACAAGGGCACATTGCTGGTTCATGGAGATCCTGCCATCCACCAGGACTCCCAGATCCTTTTCCTCTGTAGTACTTCCCAGAAGATCTACCCCTAACCTATATTGGTGCCTGGGGTTCTTCCTCCCAGAAATGAAAATCTTTTTTCATTGCCCTCAGACTACTCCTCACCAGTTCATCATTATCAACCTGTAAGACCAAGAGGGGATAATAATCTGAGGGCCGTATCAGGCCAGGAAGCTTCCTGGTAATATCCTTAACACAGGCCCCTGGGAAGTAGCAGACCTCCCTTTGGGAAGGGTCTGATCTGCATGAGGAAGCTTCCTGGTAATATCCTTAACACAGTCTCCTGGGAAGTAGCAGACCTCCCTTTGAGAAAGGTCTGATCTGCATGTGGGACCCTCAGTTCCCCTCAGAAGGGAACCACCTATAACTATTGCCCTCCTTTTTTTCTTCACGGGGGCAGTCTTAATACATGGAGCTGGCTGCTTCCGCAGCTCCCTGGATGAGCCACTATCAGTATCTTTAATCCCCTCCTCCTCTATCTCCAAGGGCTTGTACCTGTTCTGTACAATCACCTGGGAAGGCAGGGGGGAGTCTGGATGGGATTCTCTTGCTGCTTTCTCATCGCCAGTGCTGCTGCCTCACCGACCGACCGACCACCGACCGGTCTCCAGTTCAATCTCCTGCTTGAAACAGGGCTGACTCCAAAGCTGGAGCAGCTTGTCCAGGGCTTTGTCCAGCTGAGATTTGCATATTCCTCAAAATCAGAATTTCAGAACCTCTCTGCATCCCTGTGCAAGACTACATCACTTATTGTAAGACTTTTTCTCCTTTTATCGGGAATTTCCTTTATTTTAACAGTTGCTTCTTGTCTTGCAATAGCAGCCCTCAGAGCCAGTGCGTCTTCTCCAAGGACAAGCCCTGTTATTCTCTGAATACTCTGTTAATTTTTAAGGTGTTGCAGAAGAAAATGGGTTATTTCTGAGATAGGAACCCAGATGAACTTGTGGGAGGAACTGAAGGGAAAACTGTGGAATGATGCCTCTGTGTTTGAGCTTGTACAGGTGCCCAAGCTTGGTTCAAGATTCCTAAATTTTCCCATTTTCTCATGTTTTTTAAGTGCAAAAGAGACAAACATTCATCCTACACAGGCCAACTAAGCGTGAAGGAAAATACTGAAGAGACTGAAAAATTAATATCTTATATTTTGGGGCATGGAAAGAGCCTGTTAGTCACAGCAATCTGGTCTCTGGGGTCTGCAATGGCTGCAAGTGCCTCAAAACCCAGGGATCCCCAGGGATCTACTGCTGGTCCTGGAAGGTCACTCATCGCTCTGCCAGCCCTTGAGAAGTATTTCGGGTGGCATTTGGCCTCTCTAGAACACGTATGGCATTCCCAGCACAGACAGCGCTAAGAGCCTGAGGGGGTCACTCCTTTAGCACACCAGCTAAACTTGCTCCCACAAGAAGATGTCATTTTGTTTAAGTAAAATCTTTGATTACTGAGATCAAATCCACCGCTGGTACTAAAAAGTCCCTGGAACGGAGAGATCTGCTGCCAGCAGAAAGGACGACTGTGAACAAACAGGAGGCAGACAGCGCGTGGAAAGTTCTTTTCTCTTAGTTTTTCCCTTTCTTTCCATCTCTTTGTGTCTGTAGGGTTGCGGGCTTTTTGTTTCTGTGTTGTTTTGTTTAGGAGTTTTTTGATCTAGGTTCTGCTTGGAAAATTCAGCTGGGTTCTGCTGGCAATTAGCCTGCAGAAGCAACGGACAGTTGCCCAATTAATTAGCAAGCCTGCCGAGAGAGCTGGAGCATGAGACCATGTAGAAAGAGGCAGAAAAACACAGCTGTCTTGAATCCGAGGAAACACCGTGCTAAAGAAAGAGATAAATCCTCTCTGGGGTAAACTTCTGATGGTTGGTTTTGGGAGGAAAACCAGGGAAAATGGCTTCAGGCAGACTGGGACTGTCTCCTTTTATGGCTGTTCCTACAAAGGCTGAGTCTGTCATCTTTGTTAAGCTTCCTTTTTGTTTTGAGTTTATGCTGTCCTCATGTTAATCTTTGGTTCTTTGCGCACCAGATCACAGCCTTGTCTCTACTCTCCTGCTTCTGAGAGGAGGGTTTGGTTTCTGCCTTGAAGCTTCGGCTCCTCCCATGCTCAAAGGTGTGAGCAGCATCTTCTGCAACAAAGCCCTTTCTCTATTGCACTCTCAGTTCTCATTGAGAGTTTGCTGGATTTGGGTTTTCTTTCTTCTCTATTTCCTAAGAGTTCTTCCTCTTCTGTGTTTCAATTCTCATTACTTTGTGGTAAACAGATCCTGCATTTGGTTTTTTTGGTTTTTTTTTAATTGGGTTCTAGGTAATTGGGTAAAGACTATTTTCTTGTTTTGTGCAATCAAAACTCCTTTTTCCCTGATGTAGTTTAAGTGGTTGTTGGATACCTTTTATCATTCCCTTAGGTCTTGCATTTCTGGGACCTCCATGTGCAGCAGCTCATGTAGTTCTGCTCCCTCTCTTTGAGATAAGCTATTTCTGCTTCTTTGAGGGATGCAACCTCCTCAAAAGGGGTTTTCCCTTTGAGGCCTGTAGAGGAAGAGCCTTCTCATGCTCAGGGAAGGCAGTGCTGGTCAGAGCTGCTTTTCAGACTAAAGGTTGCTCATTGCAAATCTCATGTCCAGAGGAGACTTGAGTGCGTTGCTAATTCTTGAGAAGACAGTAAGGGAAGTCAAAATATCTTTTGTGTCAATGCATTTAAATGAAATGATGTGCACTGTCTCCTGGCAGAGGATGGAGGAGTGCTGCTGGTGGTGCTGCCTGTCCTCCCCTGCTGTCCTTGCTGCCAGATGTGGCTCAGCACAGCTGCCAGGGAGGTCCCCTACAACCCTGGAAAGGCTCCAGAACTTCTCAGTGTCATCTCTGGTCCTTCCTTCAGCTGGCACCCATCCATGCCCACATTGCTGAACAGAGCCTGGGTACAGCCCTTGACACTTTGCAGATATTGCATCTAATGGGCACCCGTCCCCTGCCAGATGCCACGGGCAGCACTGGATGGTAGGTCGATCCTTCTCCAGCGTGGCCCTCCCTCTGACTTGGGATGACCGCTGGCATTTGCTCCCTCAAACAGAGGAACTGGCCAAACTATGATATAGCCTTGGGATGACCGCTGGCATTTGCTCCCTCAGAGGAACTGGCCAAACTATGATATAGTTGTGACTGCTCTGACACAAATGTTTTGTTGAAGTAAACAGCAGTACTGGTGTGATCTGCCTGAAAAAGGAGGGATGTGTATCTCTGCCTCAACATCTTTGTAAATTATTTTATTCTATCGTTGGCAAAGCTAGGAAGTCAGAGGGCTGGAGCCCCTCTGCTGGGAGGACAGGCTGAGAGAGTTGGGGGGGTTCAGCCTGGAGAAGAGAAGGCTCCGGGGAGACCTTGGAGCCCCTTCCAGTCCCTCAAGGGGCTCCAGGAGAGATGGGGAGGGACTCTGGATCAGGGATGGGATCCCTAGGAGGAGGGGGAAGAGTTTGACCCTGAAAGAGGGGAGATGGAGCTGAGATGTGGGGAAGAACTTGTTTGGTGTGAGGGTGGTGAGAGCCTGGCCCAGGTTGCCCAGAGAAGCTGTAGCTGCCCCATCCCTGGAGGGGGTCAAGGGCAGGTTGGAGGGGGCTTGGAGCAACCTGGTGTGGTGGGAGGTGTCCCTGCCCAGGGCAGGGGGCTGGAACTCAATGAGCTTTAAGGTTGCTTCCAACTCTAAACATTCTGTGATTCTATAAGTGAGTTAAGGACACTTCAGTGGATGCCCAAGCACTGAAATACTCCCCACTCACTAAAAACATAATCTGATACTAAAGTTGTAAATAAGCACTCAAAGCTGAGGGAGGTGGAGGGGGAAATGCATAATAGGGAGCAGTGAAGGATTCCAGGACAGCTGGAATATATCGGAGATCCAACAGGATAAAGGACAATTTCTAGATTTCTTTAGGAAAGAAAACAAAAGTGTACATTATGCAGATGCAGATACAGAAAGTAGCCCTGTTTTGCCTTTGGAGTGAGCTGCCCTTTTTATTTTTTTAAGCAGCAAAGCAATTTACAAAAAACCTCACACTGTCTAAACCACTACAAAGCCCAACTGTGGGTGCTGTGCAGTGTGAGAAAGGCTTTGGTACCATCATCAGGGCAGGCTGCAATGCCAAGAGGGAAAATTGCTTCCCGGGAACTGTTCAGTAGGAAGCTTCGTGTAGGTAACAGATCACCTTCCTACACCCAAAACAGACGATGAAGATTATTTTCAGCCCTGTAGGTAGAACTGTCTCACGTTGTTCTCCTCACACGTTTATTTTTAATGTGTATGTTGCATCCTACAGCTACAGAGTGGAGGTGAGATATTTCACCCTGAGAGTCCGTGGTCGGTACTAGCAGTGGGTGGTTAAAGCTTGTGCTGCTTGTCTGCTTGAGAATCTTGCAGATCTTTCACTAAATTTCACTGTTAGCTACTTTATCTGCCTTTGAGTATCAAAATAATCCCCAAATCAGACTAATTACTCATTAGCTAAAAACATTCTGCCTTTTTTTCCTACTTCATTTTACCTTAATATTGTAGCCTAGGATATTTTAAACTTTAGTCCAGAAAAAAAAGGCTTTTGGCTCTCGTGCGCCTGCTCAACCCAGCAGCTATAAAACCAGAAGCTTCAAAGACAGAAGAAAAAGTGGGTGTAGAAAGGGAAAAGAGGGTTACCTTTCAGCTGTAGGGCATTCATTCCCCCGCATACATGGACCTGTCTGACATTAACTCTTCCTTAGAGATATGATTGAACTGGGACATTAGATTCTGGCTTTTAGTAATGTGGTAATTACTTTTGTTACTTTCAGCTGATGTCATCACCAGTTTCCTGTTGATCATCATGCTGTTTATCATAAGCTTCAACCTCCTCCTTGGTGTGGTGAAGGTATGTCCTGCACAAATGACATTTAGCTGCTGACTGGGGCTTCTCTGAATTAGAAGAGGAACTAGAGAATGCTCACTGAAAATGCTGAAGTATGATCAAAAAAGCAGATAAATATCTCTGCCTCTTTACGGAGGGGGAAGTTTGGTTTGCAGTCGCAGTCTCATCTACAAGGCTGCTAACTGCCAGATTTACCAAATCTGGGTGACGTTTCTATCAAGACCACTTTTTGTGTCAAGGAATGGAAATTTTCTGATTTGGAAATGTTTTATTGCCTTGTTTCCTTGCTCTTTTGCAAGGTCAGATCCTGGAAGGGAACTGTAACTCCCCTGTTACACTGGGGATTCCTTTCGCATTTCAGGAGAAGAAATGGCCATACATTGGTGTGGGAGCCCAGGTTTCTCTGTACTGAAGACCTCTGGGGACAGCTGAATGACAGTTCTGAAGGGATCAAGTGACAATGTCACATAGCAAAAATTCACAGAAACCTTACAAGGGGGTGAAAAAAATCAGTATTGATGCCCTTCATTTTTCCTTAGTCAATTGTCACCACAGTATGTGGAATTAGATGCAGAAATTCCAGGAAAGTATTTATTCTTGGGATAACTTAATACATGTCCTTTCAGGTATTGATAGCTGGTCATCTCCTCCCATTCAGAACAGAAATAACTGGCATTGCTTTTCTTTCTCAGAAAAGGGAACGTCTCCTGATCCCATTCCTTGCTCTACAAGTCATGGACTTTCTCCTCAGCCTCCTAACAATGTTCAGCTCCTACATACAAGTTCCAGTGATCATTTCTGTGTCCTCCCTTAGCCACACGGTAGGTAACAGGTAACTCATGGATCTTCTCTATTCTCTGTGTGATGGAAATACACACATAATGTAATATGGATGACATATCCACGTAAAGGATCATCATCTTGGGCCACAGATCTTCATGGCGAGACAGTTCCTACGCTGACTGGGGACATGATGAAATCCTTGTGGACTGGAGGGTGTGCAAGGAAAGCTGGTGACAGCTAGGACATTGTCTAATTTCCCATGTCTGGGAATCTTCCCGATGGCTTTGTTTTCTGCTTCAGGGCTTTGGGGAGGTTGTTCCAGGTGTGCCCACGCTAGGAAGGGTCTGGTGGAGATAAGCTAGGAATATCACTGCTCCAGCTAGAGGCCCCTTCTGAGGAGCATGTGTGGACTAGACCAACAAGATGGTTTACTCATCATTTTGGCTCATATAAATGAATTAAATAACTTAGGCTGTAAATAAGAACAGAGCACAGGCCCTGTGTAAAACAGAGAAAATATGTTTAAGTGACACAATCATCTAATCATAACCAAATTGCTGTTCCCTGTCCTTATTGCAGCAGGGACACTCGAAGATCCCTTTCCTGGCCCTGCAGCTGCTGGACTTCTGCCTGAGCATCCTCACTCTCTGCAGCTCGTACATGGAAGTCCCCACATATCTCAGCCTCAAGTCTGCAGACAATGGGGTAGGTTGTGAGCAAACTCTGCTGATGTTTCATGCCGTGAACACCTATGAAGTTTCTTTCAGTGACTGCTAAGACAGAGTAAACTTTGCCTGATCTCTACAGTATACCCAGAACTGCTCTGTTTGATGACAAAAGAGGATTTTCCATATGTTCTCACCAACGCGGTGTCCTTGACTGACAGCTTGCTTATGCATGTGTTTCTTGAAATTACACCTTGTTTTTCTTGTAAGGATCTTATAGATGCAAATTGTAGAGCAAAATGATTTGGATAGAGCCCGCCTGCATGCATTGAAAATGCATTGACTTTTCATCTTTATTAAACAGTCATACTTTTAGTTCTCATTTAAATAGTGGTCTGAAAATCTTTGCCAAAGGAATGTAAACAGTAGGAGGCAAAAATATCCCTGTACTCTTTCTGATGATGACAGGAAAGTGGCTTGTCCCTCCTTTCTGAGAGGCAGGCTGAGAAACTTGCTGAGATCTCCACCGCTCTGTGTGACCCTGGTAGAGGGAACAAGAGCATATGACTGAGATCTTCTTCCTCTTTTCACAGGGCTTTTTGCCAACCCTGGAGAAGTTACCAATGGAGGAATATGCCAAAGTGATGGTCACCTTCACCATTGCGTTCATTGCTGTCCTCTTTCTGAAGGTAAATGGCTGCTGGGTCTGGTGAGGCTGAAATGGAACTCTACTGCCTGGGGGATAGGAGGAATTCAGTTCACTTCTCTCTCAAACCTGCCTTGTTCACCTCTCCTTGGGCATATTCGGAGCTGTGCCTCAGTGTAGACTCTGTGGCAGGTCTAATATTCAAATCACTAGGTTTGTGTTTCTGTAGACATGAGTTATAAAGCAAAATCTCTCCACAAACTCACTGCCCATTCATTTCTAGAAGGATGTTTGAGAACAAATATAGGAAACTTCTGCTATTGTGTGCCAAAATAAATTAGATCATTAAGCAGCAGGTTAGATCTTCCACTTGGGTGAGTCGCTGTATCTGCACTGATGTAAGCAGAGTTACGCACACTGATACCCTGAAATTTAATTAAAACCCGTGAGCTGCTAAATCCTGCTTACATCTCAGAAAACTCCACTGTGAGATGGTTTCTATTCTTCTTGCTTCAATGGATCAGAGAACAGGTTTTTCACTGGGGGGTTTCAGACCAGATAAGAAAACCAGATCTTTCCAGGTACTTGAGCAGATTCTGTCACAGTGAAAAATGCTACTTGTTAGTTGGAAAGCGTTTTTTATTCAGACTCTTCCCAGGTGGCCAGATCAGCCACTGTGGAGTGGAGTGTCTTGTGTGATTGCACTGCAGACATGACTTTAGCATATCCTTTAATATTTGCATAAACTGCGCAATGGGAGTGGAGATAACCCTGAAACCCAGCTGGCAGTGCGGGTCGTCAGCAGAAATCTCACTGACCTGGCAAATGGGTTGATTTGAATTTTCCACAGGGTTAGCTACAAGACTGCTTAACTTGCAATGACTTTTTGTGCAGGAGTTTGTAGGAGGAGGGATGGGAGAGGGTAATTAAAAAAAATGGACAGGCACAAATACTACTTAGTCTACTAAACTCCCCAAAACAATTTATTAGGAACCCCATCCTTTAAACTTAGTGACAATCCCTCTCCTCTTCCATGTGTAGCAAAACCATTTTCACGAGAGAGTTCCTTCCAAGTCATAAAGATCTGATGAGGAACGTGGCAAAAACATGGAATATTTTAGACCTAAAAATGCAATTTGGCCAATTTAGGGTCTATCAGTTTCAATTCACTGCATACCCACGGCAAGGTAGCATCTAAATATGCTAGACTAGCCCAGGATCTTTTCGCATAAATTGATTTGCTTAATGACCCATCACAAGCATTTATTGCTGTTCCGCTAAAATGTTCTTTCTGTGTTTTCTGGTGCTATTTGCCTGCCAACTTGCAATTACTGTCCCCAGATAGTTATCTGCATCCCACACCATGGCATAGCTCAGCTAAAAGGTGGTCTGTCAGGTGAAGAAGAGATGGGGCACCTGCCCCACCGCATGCCTCTGCAGGTGACCTCATATGAGACCTGCAAGACTTTGCTCACACTTTTAGCATGAAAGATTTCTCTGACAATTCTGGGGGATGGGTAATGCTCCTCTCCCTCCTTTCTCTCATATACCACCACGCTTTGCAGGGACCTTGTCCTGTTGTAATGTGGAAGTATCTCCATGCGACTTCACTGAGTCTCCTCTGGAGACATTCAAAACCCACCTGGATGCATTTTTGTCCAGCCTACTCTGGATGAACCTGCTTGGACAGGAGGGTTGGACTGGATGATCTCTGAAGGTCCCTTCCAAAGCCTACAGTTCTGTGATTCACAGCTCCTTAGAGTGTGGTGTCTGGCTGTATGCTTACTGCTAGAGCCTCAACGGTGCTATCATCAGTTTTTCGAGTCTATGTTCCTTGGAGATGCAAAGTATTCAAAGGGCAGAGAGATGAAGGGGTGATGCTTACATAGCACCATGAAGGCCGTCTCCCTTGCTGATCTGTGTCTCCACAAGTAGTCTTTATCTCACCTCAGTATCATAAAGTCATTCCTCTCCTCCACCACCACCGTGTTAAGAATGCAGAAACCAAGGAGAATAGAACATTTCTGATGGGAAATGAAAGAAAGGATTTAACATAATTACTTCTGAAGTAGCTCGATTCCTGACCTCTAGGACAAGCTTCCTGTCCACTTATAATGTCAGCGGATGCCAGGGAAATTTTCCCTCTTCAATTCAGTGTGGAGAAGGGTATCCTACAGTGGCTCTTGAGTGTCTGGAGTTAGTCAGTAATGGGATGATCCCAAGGTCACTGGCTGCCTCTGCATAAACTGTGTGTACTCATGTATTCTGCTCGGACCTGCTGTTGCTTGCAGCAGTCTTAACTGAAGTCGACTTCATTGAATTTGGTGCAGATACTGGTTGGAATCAATGAAAGGATTTTTTTGTTGTATGACAATTTTTTTTTAACTTATTGGTGTTTCTTTTGTAGGCGAGTGGGGGATTTCATACAATTTATATGACAGCATATATACTATACACATTATAGTGTCTTGCACATTTGCTCTCTGTATGAAGAAGCTTTTGGAAAGGGGAAGGATTTTGCAATATTCCCTAAAGGTGGTCAAAGTTTGGATTCACCTCTCCATCTCTGGAAATTTGTTTGAGAGATGGATTCCTTCAACTCAGATACTTCATTCCTTGTTCCTGTGCTTTATCTTGGCTTTATGTCAAGAAAAGCAGTCCTCATTGTTCTAGGAAATCCTAAGCTACACGGCTTGTTCACGGGGCATATAACTCTCTATGTTCCTTTGAAAATGCCAACTGTTTTTAAAGTAGAGTCTTACGCCAATAAAAATAAGAGGCACACGACTTTGCCTCGCTGCACAGAGTAGGGAAAATATTTATTTAATATGGTATGTTTCACAGGCCTTGCTTATTTTCTTGTGCCACAATCCATCAATCGATCCATTTTTCTCAGAAAAGCTCTCTATTTATTGCATCTTGTAACTCTATGAGGTGCAAGGCGGTCTTGTCAGAAAAATGTAACTTGTGCAAGTACAGGATTTTGTTGAACGAGTTGACCTTTCAGGTCAGTCCTAGTTGACCAAGGAGCCTTGGATCTCTGGGAGGTGGATGTGGTGCCCAAGTTGCTTTTCATCTGAATTTTGTAGCCTGCTTAGAAAAAAAAGCATGAAAGACATGCTTTTGTTCCCTACCTGATGATATTGCACTCTCGGAGGTCCTAAGAATGCGCTTTGTATTTAATGATGCTACTAGTCCTATTGACTTCCCATGTTACTGTTCTGTTCCAAATAGATGGAATTGTTACTGTCCTAGTGAAGGATCAAGAGACACTGATTTAAGGCCCTGGGACACATGGTCCCAGGCTTCTACCTCCAGAGGAGAGAGTAGGATGATTGCAGGCTGAGGGTAGAAGTGGAAATGCTCTTGTTGACTTGCAATGCAATGGCAGATGTCCCATTCCCTTTGTTTTTCAGGCCTATATGTTCAAATGTGTCCTCAGCTGCTTTAAGTATATTAAAGCCAGCAAGAGAAAGGAGGTGAAAGTCGACACACAAGCAGTTGAAAAGGTGAGTAAAGACTGCTTCAGGTTTCCACTAGGAAAAAATATAGTTTAGCCTGATGAGGTGTATGATGATCCTTCCTTTTGTTTCTTTGGTGTTCTGAGAGATAGTTCAACCTTCAAATGTGCATTGGCAGGTACTGATAATCAGTTTCCAACTCCATATATTCCTCTAAATTTAAAGTTTTTGTATAAAGCCTATCAAAGTCAATGGTGTCTGTAACTGAAACTTATGCTTCAGACAAAGCAGATATAACTTATCCTCTGGTCCCGAGTTGTGTTTTTAATTTCAGTTGAACTTTGCTTTCTGGGCCTAATAGTGCTACCCATGTTTAAAATGAAGTTTTCTTCACCTTTCACTGGATCACCGTCTGAGCAATTTGGTGCACTGCCCTTCATCTTAAGAGTTTGTTAAATAATGGATATCAATGTCCTTAGATTACTGATGATCTCTTTAATAGTAGCATCCAGCTGCTCTGACACAATGGAAAGATATTGAAGACCTTCCAAAAATAAGAGATACTGTAAAGATGGATGAGAAGTAAAGAGGAAGAATATGGAAAGCTAAGTGCAGGCATTTGTCTTGTTGAAACTTGGCAAATATGATGAGCCTTGTCTTGCCAGCAGTGTGTGCCCCTGCTGTGCATGCATCATGGCCCTCCTCAATGATCTGAGCTCAGCTTCTTTGCTTAGGCAACGAGGCTTAGACTCTGGGTGTTAAAGAGCCTTGGTCTATTTAATGCAGCCATGCTTTGGGAGAAGGAGGTGGAACTGACATCAAAGTGGTTATGAAGTGCTGCTGACCTCTTACTCCTCTGGATTTCTCCCTTTATCTCTTACAGTGTATGTGATTCTTTTACCCTGTTTCGAGCTAGGTAGAGAAACATGTCAAAGATCAAATCCACTTGAAACCCTTCATGTGATCCCCAAAGCATAACTGATGGTCTTCTCTTTCAGGCTGTGCTGCCATCCTATGAGGAAGCCTTACAGTTGCCTGCCAAGGAATCCCCACCGCCCTATGTAACGATCTAAGCTCCACACCTGAAGAGGAGACATCTGTATTGCTGCTGGTGCCTCTTGCCCCTTCTGTCAGATAGTCAGCCCCGCTGAGAAGTCCTTACTTTGTAGCAGTATCATGCTTATTACAGTCCACCTCACTTTATAAGCCTGCGAAGAGTGATGGTGAACCACTGGAGTTGGTGCCTCGTTCTGCTCTGGCAGTTTTGAGCTGGTACTACCAAGCTGTAGTCCTAATTTTGATAAACTTGGCACCAGGCACCACAGAAGTTCCCATCACTGGCCTCCGACATCTGGCTAATGTGAATTGTTGGCACTGGCCTGAATCCCTTCTCAGGCTTGCTTTGCATCAGCGAGATGCTGTTTCTCGTCTGTCTCACGTCTAACTCGGCAGCTGAGACATTTAGGAAGAGGAATAGGGGAAAAATGGGCTTTTCGCTGAGACAGTCCAACCCTGAAGCTATGCTAACCAGCGTCTTTTAATGAGGATCGTAAGGGAAAGGGATTGGCAAAAGAATGAAGATCTCAAATGAACTATGATGCAGCTCTCATCCTGCCTGCTTGTGATGATGATTAATAGTGTGTGCTCCAGAATATACAACACGCTGGAATTACCACGGTGTTGCGCTGCCATTTTATACCTGAGTGTTTGCATTTTTTTTTGCTTTTAGTGTGACTTGAAAGATGAGTTTCAATTAAAAAGAAGTTAACGGCTTCAATACTTTGCTGTCTGATTTCTGAACAGTGCTGCCTTTGCTGCCTGAAGTATGTCACAAAGAAGTAATAGTTTCCTTTCTGAAAAAAATTAGTTAGCAAAAATGGTGTTTTGGGCTTAGGCTGATGTTATCTCTGTGTGTGTGCCATTTGCGAAGGAAAAGATGGTATTTCTAACACCCAACTCAGCAATTTCATCTAAAAATCTACCTTTTTCCTTCCTCTTGCACATTTTCACCAGCAATAAAGATCCTGCCCCAGGCATGCTTTGTGTGGCATGAAAAAAATTAGTTAGCAAAAATGGTGTTTTGGGCTTAGGCTGATGTTATCTCTGTGTGTGTGCCATTTGCGAAGGAAAAGATGGTATTTCTAACACCCAACTCAGCAATTTCATCTAAAAATCTACCTTTTTCCTTCCTCTTGCACATTTTCACCAGCAATAAAGATCCTGCCCCAGGCGTGCTTTGTGTGGCACATTCACAACTGACTCTCCTTGCACAGGTCACCCTCTGTAGATGTTAGTGAACAGCACTGGTGATGGCAGATGAGATGTAGCTGGAATTTAGCACCTGCTCACCTTTTTTGGATTGTTGCCTGCTTTTTAAAACAACTCAGTATAAATGTGTAATTTGCTCAGTAATAACTATTCCAGCTTCATCCATGATGTGGACCACAGCCTGGGGTCTTTGTTCTGCTCTGAAACAACAAAAAAAACAACACACAAGAAGCTCCAATGGAACGTTTGACAAAGTATAACAAGGAAATGTCAGTGTTCCCCCATGCTCTTTTCATTACATGTGTATTTATGTATGTGGCAATGAAGATAATTATGTTTGTCATCCACAACTTCTGTTGCCCAGAGAAGTTGTGGCTGCCCCAACCCCAGGAGGGGTTCAAGGCCAGGTTGGACAGGGCTTTGAGAAACCTGGTCCAGTGGGAGGTGTCCCTGCCCAGGGCAGGGGAGCTGGAACTCAATGATGTTTCAGGTCCTGTCCAACCCAAACCATTCTATGGTTCTATATTTTTTAGCTGGTTTTCTCATCACTGAAGATGAGTGATGGTTTCCTTCCTCTGTGTTGTCCCTTGTTCTTGGGACCAGGGTACTCAACAACAGACATGAAGTCTGGAAAGACAACATCTTAGTGTCTCCAGTGCCTTAAACATGTTTAAAATCCCTCACAGAAGTACAAACCCTGAAGTCTGGAAAGATGACATCTTAGTGTCTCCAGTGCCTTAAACGTGTTTAAAATCCCTCACAGAAGTACAACCCCCTCAAATCATTCAAGCAGAAAATGGCACCTGTTTAAATGTGACCAGAGAGCAAGAGACCAACCCAAAAGTCAACTGGAAAACCTTCCAGAAGCATTTGAGAGCCCAACTTACTGCATCAAGGTCCAGCCCAATCTCTTGCTTTATTAGGTGCAGAGAGAAAACAGTAACTTTGAAAATATGAATAATCAATAGGCTACAGTACTTTCCAGACATCACCTCTCAGCCCTCTTGGTCATAGACCCGAAGACCAGGTTGGATGCTAAAACTGGCTGCTTCTCCTCTCTCACAGCTACCTGCCCACCTTGGCTGCAGGGCTCAAAGCCAAGTCTGGAGGACGCCACAGGGTGGATTACCTGTGTGGAGCTTCTCTCCTTTTTAGTTTATGGAGGTGTTTGAAAGCACAGTCTAACCCAAACCATTCTATGGTTCTATATTTTTTAGCTGGTTTTCTCATCACTGAAGATGAGTGATGGTTTCCTTCCTCTGTGTTGTCCCTTGTTCTTGGGACCAGGGTACTCAACAACAGACATGAAGTCTGGAAAGACAACATCTTAGTGTCTCCAGTGCCTTAAACATGTTTAAAATCCCTCACAGAAGTACAAACCCTTCAAATCATTCAAGCAGAAAATGGCACCTGTTTAAATGTGACCAGAGAGCAAGAGACCAACCCAAAATTCAACTGGAAAACCTTGCAGAAGCATTTGAGAGCCCAACTTATTGCATCAAGGTCCAGCCCAATCTCTTGCTTTATTAGGTGCAGAGAGAAAACAGTATCTTTGAAAATATGAATAATCAATAGGCTACAGTACTTTCCAGACATCACCTCTCAGCCCTCTCGGTCATAGACCCAAAGACCAGGTTGGATGCTGAAACTGGCTGCTTCTCCTCTCTCACAACTACCTGCCCACCTTGGCTGCAGGGCTCAAAGCCCAGTCTGGAGGAGGCCACAAGAGCTTCTCTCCTTTTTAGTTTAGGGAGGTGTTTGAAAGCACAGTCCTTAAATGTGACCAGAGAGCAAGAGACCAACCCAAAATTCAACTGGAAAACCTTGCAGAAGCATTTGAGAGCCCAACTTATTGCATCAAGGTCCAGCCCAATCTCTTGCTTTATTAGGTGCAGAGAGAAAACAGTATCTTTGAAAATATGAATAATCAATAGGCTACAGTACTTTCCAGACATCACCTCTCAGCCCTCTCGGTCATAGACCCAAAGACCAGGTTGGATGCTGAAACTGGCTGCTTCTCCTCTCTCACAGCTACCTGCCCACCTTGGCTGCAGGGCTCAAAGCCAAGTCTGGAGGACGCCACAGGGTGGATTACCTGTGTGGAGCTTCTCTCCTTTTTAGTTTATGGAGGTGTTTGAAAGCACAGTCTTTCCCTTCAGATTCCTCATTAGAGTCTGTAAGTGCTGAGACGGTGTATGACAGCCCAGCATGGGGCCATCTTCACCAGGCTGCCTTCCACTGGTCAGGATTGACTAAAAGCCCATTAACTGGGCCTGCCCAAAGTATCGTCAGGAGAAACGCTGGCAATTTATTTGGCTTCTAAAACAAAGAGCGTTCCTCAATGTGATTCAACTAAATTGTTTTAGAAATCCTCTTCCATTTCTTTTAATGGTTCAAATTCTACCTCTAGTTACATTCCCATTAATAATGCCCTTGGCTATTTAGTTACTGCAGCAGGGTTAAACATTCCCTAAGCCTCTTGGTTTAATTGACTTTGATAATACAGCTAATGTACTTTCAGCACACCTCTTGCAGAGATGGGGTTTGTTTCAAATGTGTATGAGTTGGGTCTCCAGGTACACACCTGATCTTCTGAATGACCCTGATGATCCAGGGCTCTCAGTGAGCCAGGCGATCCCTCTGCTTCATGCAGTATTTTCTCTCCAGGGCTCAGAATAGTTCCCCGTGAAAGCCTGGCTCAAAACCACCTGAAATCTGATAAAATGTATAGATTTATTGTGAGTTTCCAGTCAGGTCAGGGGCTGAGTTCTAGACGGGAAGTGGTTTTTGGTTTTCTGAAATGTTAGATGATTTGGCCAACACAAACTGAACACAAGCTGTCCCAAGCCTGTTTGTAAGTCAGACGATGGCACTATCAATGCTGGTTTTGAGAGTGATAAAAGACCCTTTTTAATATGCTACTGTTATACTGTTTTTTCTTCTCTAAACTGATTTACTGATGTGAGTCTCTCCAATACAGGCTGAGAACCAATTCACACAGATGTGCTTAATGCTGCTCCACACATTGCTCTTTTTTTTTTCTAATACAAAGGAAAAATGAGCAGCAATTCTTTAATGTAAGGAACAGATTAAGCTGATGGTTTCAGCACTGGCAGGACAGATGTGTAAGAGGGACTTAAACACGTTTAGAAGCAGAAGCATCTCATGGAGGTGGAGACACTCCAAACCTCCAGAGATGTCCGTGAGGTTACCTGACTGACTGTGTTTTTCCCCACATCTGGCCCAGAGCAAAAGGTCCAGTGGAAAAAGGGCTGTGTGTTGCTTTGAGTGCTTCTGCTGTGTTTAATTTCTTGTTCTTCTCTTGGCATTCTTGGGCCATTCAGCTGGAGGAGACATGTCTCTCCCTCTGCTCTGAAACAAGGAACAAAACCAAACACGCTGCACTGGTCTCCCTGTTCCACAGAAAGGGAAACTGCGGTACAAAGGAAAAGGAAACAACTCATGGTCCATTCTGAGAAAGGAAGGAAAGTGCAGAACGGGTGGGAGTGATCCTGGTCTGCTCTCAAAAGTGGGCACAGTACCTGGGACTGGGAGAAAAGCCTCTAAAGGTCCAAGCAAATCCCTAGACACTGCCTGACCTGCATGTATTCCCCATGGCTGGGTGAGAGCTCTATGCTGTTGCAGAAGTTGGTTTTTTTTATTGATTCATAGAATCATAGAATTGTCCAGGCCGGAAGGCACCTCCAAAGGCCATCTAGTCCGACCCCCCCGCAGTCAGCAGGGACACCCCCAACTAGACCAGGTTGCCCAGGGCCTCGTCGGGCCTCACCTTGAATATCTCCAGGGATGGGGCCTCAACCACCTCCCTGGGCAACCTGTTCCAGTGCTCCACCACCCTCACAGTGAAGAACCCTCTCCTCATCTCCAGTCTAAATCTGCTCCCCTCCAGCTTAAAGCCATTTCCCCTCGTCCTGTCACTGCAGCCCTTTGTAAACAGGCTCTCCCCAGCCTTCCTGTAGGCCCCTTCAGGTACTGGAAGGATGTTATTAGGTCTCCCTGGAGCCTCCTCTTCTCCAGGCTGAACAACCCCAGCTCCCTCAGCCTGTCCTCGTAGCAGAGGTGCTCCAACCCCCTGATCATTTTAGTGGCCCTCCTCTGGACCCTCTCCATCAGGTCCATATCTTTCCTATACTGAGGGCTCCAGACCTGCACACAATACTCCAGGTGAGGTCTCACCAGAGCAGAGAAAAGGGGAAGAATCCCCTCTCTGGACATGCTAGCAATGCATCTTTTGATGCAGCCCAGGATGTGATTGGCTTTCTGGGCTGCAAGTGCCCACTGCCTGCTCATGTCCAGCTTCGGGATAACCCTCCTTGAGGCTCCTTCCCACAGCCTTGGGCTGGTCCCAGTGAGACAATGCTGCAAATCCCAGTTACGTGCTGAAAGTGCTCCCACGTGCCATCCCACAGCCTTTTAGTCAAACGTTTGATAAACCTGCCCACTGATGGGAAATGTTTCCTGGTGAAGGTAAGCAGTAGAGGTTGTTCCAG